GCTGAATTCAAATCTACTTCGAGTTATGTCGTAAATTTTTTTGAGGTGCTCATAAGGTTTACGAGCCAAACATACCACAAACGCTCAAGCTTGGTTTGTTTATTAATCGAGCCGAACTAGGCTTGGCTTGGCTCATTCATGACCCAAGCTTCGACGAGCAAAACACGGTGCGAGCCCGAATTGTTTCGAGCCAAGTTATAGCCCTAATCCTAAGACAGTTGAATTGAATATGTAATGTTCTGTGACAATAACTGTGAAATTGTGTAATCTAAAACTCTGTGACATTTTGACATTGGTATTTTAAAGCAAGTTGATGCAATACTAAGGGGTGGTTTGGGAGTGAGGTGCTTAAAAAAAAAACACCCATGGAAAAAAGTTGTGAGAGTTTTAGGTGTTTGGTAAACTGAAAAAAATGGCTTATTTTGGAAGTTGCTGTGAGAATAAGCTGAAATCAAAAGAAAAAGCTAAAGCTACTATTTGCAGTTTTGGCTTTTTTTTTCAAAGCACACAGAGCTACAGTGCTCATTTAATGAAAAGACCCACTATCAGACTGCTTTTTTTTTTTTCCAAAAGCACTTTAACAAAAAAGTTTACCAAACACTCTGCTGATTTATTTCACAACCGCTTATTCTCATAACAGCCGCTTATTCTCACAGCAGTTTTTTTTCAAAACACAACAATACCAAACCAGCCCTAATTCATATTGGACTTGGGTTATACAACAGTAGTTAGAAGGAATTGAATACAATTCTCTTTTTATTGGAATTTCCGTTAGATAAGTTTGGTTTAATATAGCAACAACACAAATTTCGAAAGAAAAATGATAGGGATATTTTGGATGCGGTCCATAATCCTTAAAATTCTTTGATTAAAATCTTAATAATATTCAAAGTTTGATCAAGGTCCCTTGACTTTGAGCACCTCATTATATTACTATTAATATTTATAGTTTTATAGTTTTGACATTAATTGTTTGATATTTTATGAGATTTATAATCCTATAAATTTAAAATCCCTCATTATAATACCATTAGAAATAGTTACAATAAAAAAATTCAAACATTTTGATTGAATAAATGGATAAAAACTATGTAAAAATAATAAATAATAAATGGCAAAATAATGTATCCATAGTGTTAAAAAAATTGGTACATTTTACAAACAAATTGGTACATTTCACATATAACAAAGTGGTACATTAATAAAGAAGAATGGGTACATTAGAAATAAATTAGGGTACAGATAAAAGATTAAAAATTATGAATACAAATGAATTTTTAAAAATATAGGCTCTAAAAGAAATTAATACATGGGTACAAAATAAAACTAAAAAGAAAATACTACAAATTTAAAAAAAATGTTGCAAATTAAAAGTGGGTACAAACTAAAAATATAAATATAGATACAAAGTTTAGGCATAAAATATAAAGATACCATATATAATTTTTCCATCATTAATTAAATGTCACGTGACGGTATACACATGGGTACAAACACAAATAAAACTTTAAAAAATATGGGCACAAAAAGAAACTAATATATGGGTACAAATTAAAAATGAAAAGAAAATTGGTACAAATTAAAAAATATTTGCAAATTAAAAATAGGTACAAACTAAAAATAAAAATATATGATAAAAATTTTAGCCATAAATATAAATATACTAATTGTAACATTTTTATCATCAAAGGAATATATTTAAAAATAAAAAAAATATATTTTATTATTCAAATAATTAATGATGTTATTAATACCCAAGGACCTTGATAAAAAATTGAAAATGAATAGGATTTTAATCAATGGAGTAACAAAAGAAGGATGTGAACCTAATTTTCCCAAAATGATAACTTGAAATAACTGCAAAGGGAACCCTGCACTCATGATGCAAAGGGTCTATAACGCTTTCTATCTATCTCTGTTGTCTTTGACTTATCATATAAGAAGGAGATAAGAGAAAAAAGCGTATAAAGACTCATTACAAATTCTTTTAATCAGTTTGATTGTCTATTTTTTTAATGTAATAATATATATTTTTAATATAATATATATAAGGTATCCTCCAGTTAATTCAAATCAAAGCAATTGGATGTCGGACTCGGCCTATATGACATACATCACCAACACTCCACATTTTTCATATATTTCGTACTTCACCAACACTCCACCTTTTTCATATATTCCATACATTGCCAGCACTCCACCTTTTTCATATAACACTCCACCTTCCAGTCCAAATGGAATACGATTCGCTTTCAATTTGCCTTAATTCATCAAAGTGTTCTAGAGAGAGGCTCATCTTCTCTCTCCTCAAAATAAGAGAGTCCCGTGGAGTAGTTATTGGAGGCCTTTTTTTGTCAGCATCGTCCCAAAAAAGGGCAAAGAATTGCTCTTGACCTTTGATATTATATTTCACCATCTGTGTTTGCCAATTGGCATTTTCATCTTTTTTTTTTCCAAGTAGAACACTCAGTGAATTACACCATGCACAAAATGCATAAGAGTTTTAGAACATTGGTGCACAATGACCATTTCTTGAAGCTCCTAAATAACCAAAAATCTCGATTCCTCAGACCAGAACTTTACAGCACTTCGGCTCATGCTGGCCGTGCGATCATCAGCAAAGGTTCAGCGCAAAGTTTCATACTTTCAAAGAACGTATGTATGGATTTGATTGAATTTGTAATCATTTAAAAGATGGGATTTTCTGTTGTGGTTTTTGCAGCGGCTGTTGCTTGGGAAGCAGGGAAGCCCTTGGTGATAGAGAAGGTGGAGGTTGCTCCACCGCAAGCCAGTGAAGTTAGGGTCCAAATCAAATACACCTCTCTTTGTCACACTGATGTCTACTTCTGGGAAGCCAAGGTCAGCAAATACACAATCCATATAACCATGTATACATGATTATATGGATTAACTGAGAAATATACGCAAACAGAATCCGGTTACAAACTTTCAATAAAAATTTGGACTGGAAGGATACTAAAACGGTCCTATTTACGTATATTTCTCTCAAACTTTTCATTCTACTTTTTATAACTTATTAATCTTCTGTTATTTGTTTTGCTTCCGGGAATTCAGGGCCAGACACCATTGTTCCCTAGGATTTTCGGACATGAAGCAGCTGGGTAGGTTGTTGCTTTTAAGTGAATCTTACCAAAAGTTAAGTTGGTATTTATGTCTAGTTGCTTTCCAGTCTTGATTCTTTTTCTTTCTTATGTTTCCCCATGTTTTTGTCCAAATTATGAATGCAAATGCTTATTTTTTGTGACAGCGTCGTTGAGAGTGTTGGCGAAGGCGTTAAGAACCTCAAGCCGGGGGATCATGTGCTTCCAGTTTTCACTGGGGAATGTGGGGATTGCCCACATTGCAAGTCTGAGGAAAGCAACATGTGTGAGCTGCTGAGAATCAATTGCGATAGAGGAGTCATGATTGGTGATGGGAAAGCAAGGTTTTCGCAGAATGGGACTCCGATTAATCACTTTCTCGGCACATCCACATTTAGCGAGTACACAGTTATCCACGAAGGCTGCCTCGCCAAGATCGACCCAAAGGCACCGTTGGATAAAGTCTGCATCCTCAGTTGTGGTGTGTCAACCGGCTTAGGTGCCACTCTGAATGTAGCAAAACCAAAGAAGGGTTCTTCAGTTGCTATCTTTGGACTTGGGGCTGTTGGCCTCGCTGTAAGTTTTGGGAACAAACTGATTTTTACATTCCCGTTTTCTCCCATTACGCACATCCCTTTAATTTTATCGATCCTTGGTTCTCTCTTGATTTATTCAGTCCTAAGGACAGAAAAAGAGGAGCGCAGGGGGAGGAAACGAGAGTTCGATCAAATACTTAGCGTTGTTTCCCATTTGGTAGTTTTGGTAGTTAGAATTATAAGTGTTTCTCTTTCAGGCTGCAGAAGGTGCAAGAATTTCTGGGGCATCAAGGATTATTGGGGTAGACTTGAATCCCAATAGATTTGAGCAAGGTATAGTTGAAATTTTATACATTGTCGTCGTTAAATTACCATGGTTTAAAAACTATTGGCAAAACATAAGAAACCAATTCTTGCTGAAAACTTTGGTTTACCTGGTTTAGCCAAGAACTTCGGAGTAAACGAGTTTGTGAACCCGAAAGACCATAACAAGCCAGTGCAGGAGGTGAAGACTCATTCTTAATTTATACTTAAACCCTCTCACAGACAGTTCAACTATACTCAATCCTATATCATATCTTTACAATCGACAGGTTATCGCTGAGATGACGGATGGTGGAGTTGACAGAAGCTTAGAGTGCACTGGGAACATTAATTCGATGATCTCCGCTTTCGAATGTGTTCATGATGTATGCTTAATTTTTATATTAACAGAAGTTACAATTTAAGAGTTGATAACTTGCAACTCAAGAAACATATATGTTTGGATTGGTAATGAAACAGGGGTGGGGTGTAGCGGTGCTAGTAGGAGTGCCAACCAAAGATGCAATCTTCAAGACAAACCCCATGAAAGTACTTGATGAAAGAACCCTCAAAGGAACATTTTTCGGCAACTACAAGCCTCGGAGCGACCTTCCCTCTCTCGTGGACATGTACATGAACAAGGTAACCTAAGTTTCTTCGAAAAATCTCCAATACTTTCTCGAGTGATCGGTTCTTCGATTGTGGATTTTAACGAATGTTTTCTTGATCACTTTTGATACAGAAACTGGAAGTAGAGAAGTTTATAACGCATCGACTTCCTTTCTCGGAGATCAACAGAGCTTTTGACCTAATGTTGAAGGGGGAAGGCTTGCGGTGCATCATTAGCATGGAAGAGTAGGATTAATGTCCAAATTCATATACTAATTAACTATAATAATAGCAATAAAGCTCTTAATTAGCATCACAAGATAACCAATGTGTATCCGAGTCAGTGACGAGAGACTCAAAATCAGACTGAGACTCCGATGCAGACTCAGACAGCGGAGGAGCAGAAGCTGGTGGCGGTGTACAATTTGATGGTGGTCGAATTATAAATACATGATACAAACTGGAGAATGAAGAATCGAACACAAAATCTGTAATGCAAAGAGGAGTGTTATACGTCGTTGTCTGATGTTATTGTAACATCTTTTTAAAAGTTGTGAAAAACAAGCAAGCAGATTTTGTGCCGCCACTAACTATATACCGTCACAATTTCCTACCATCCATCAATGCTAACTTCTGTGGGAAAGACCATTCTTTTGTGTTTAATAAGATCTCCATGAGCTCTGCAAAGAATACAAGCATTTGACTTCCGCACCACTTCCCCGGAGTGGGGCAACGCCTCACAGTCAGGTTAGCTGTGCTAGGCCTTTCCTAAAAGCTTAAACCAAATCCCTTGTTCCATGTGATGTGGCTGTTACTTATACTTCTCCATGATTCTTCTGGCTTCTTCTAGACTGTCGTCCATCCTGTCCTCCTTTGGTGTTGAGGTGGTGCCTCCACTCCACCTCGGCCCTTCATCCTTATTCAAAGCAATGAATATAAAGTATACAAGTCCCATCGTAGCCTGTTATCATTGAATGCTTACTTCAATACAGTTATATGATATGTACTTACAAAACAAAGACTATCCATACAAGAATAATGTTCTCTTATTGACGACGAGTATATTGTCTACATAGCATCTCATTTCTTTAAAGGCTTATTTTTTCTTATGCCCCTTGGAACTTGAACATAAATCCCACTTCCCCCCTCATACAAAAATATCGCCACTTTGCACCTTGAAACTCAATTTTCGCTCTACTGTGGTTAGATTCTGTCTATTCCGTTAAAAAGAGAGGAAATCTGCTTACGTGGAAGAAATATTGCTTACGTGGAAGAAATATCTACTTACGTGGAAGAAAAATTGGTCCCAATATGGTGAATCCAATCATCCCATTCTCAATGAAGAAGACTCAAAAGCAAGAGCAATTGTTTCAAAACAGGTGGGTTCCAAATTTCCAATTAGCTACCTTTTCATCCCAACTATGTCCTTTAATATTACCAACCCATGAGGATTAACTCAAAGAACTGAATACACAAATCACAACTAACACATCTCAATCACTCTTCCCTGACCTCCCTCATCATAAGCCATACGGCCGATACCCACACCAGTATTAACCCCTCCCTCATCAGCCGTTGTCCATCGAAGAGAGAGTAACAGAAAGTAATTATTATAAATAAAGGGAAGAGGGAGGTGGCGATGGGGAGGGAAGTGGGGAGTGGGGAGGGCACGGGGGAGGAGATGGGTTCCTTTTTTTCTTTTTTTATTGTCATGTCAACACTGAAAATGGAACTCTAATACCACATACGAGGAAATTACTAAATTGCCCTTCCACATTAGCATATTTAACGGAAAGGGCAGATTTTGACCAAAGTGGAGCGAATATTGAGTTCCCGGGTGTAAAGTGGTGATTGCTTCAAAAGGGAAAGTGAGACTAAATTCGAGTTCTAGGGGGCATGCCAAAAAAAAGCCTTCTTTACAGTAAGGTAGCAAAATAAGCAATCTACTGTTCTTGCAGGAAGAAAGAGATAGACAACGTACCAGCACAAAGAAAGCTGTAGACAGGAAAGATTTGAGCACAAATAGTGAAAGAGTCAACGCCACTATAGTCACGGAAACCCTTGCAACTGGTCTCGGTACTGAATTCTAGCATCCCAAAAGCAAAATGAAAACAGAATATCAACGATCTTCAATTTGTACTGAAAGCAAGAAAAACACTGTGCACTGAAATGCAAATAAAACTTCGAAAAGGGTAAGACTCTGCAGAATTACCGGCACGAGATTGGTTCCTGCCTCAACTCCATCTCGCCCAACCTTCCATGCCGTTTGCAGAGCTATTTACATAATTTAACAAGTAGTTAACACAAATGTAAACATAAAACTGGTAGTAACTATTTGCTCTCTTGTATGAGCAGGACAACAACAAAAGTAAATCATGTGATGCAGAGGGGTAGCAACATTGTTAATTTGATGTGAATTTTAAGTTTTAAAGAACAAAACGTCCTCGAAATGATAATGTAACTCAAAAACTCAACCACAAACCTAATATCTTATCCTAACAATTAAAAATCCTGACTCAAAATTAGTCTGCATTTAAAGGTCGTAATAGAAATGCCTTCTTGGACAACTTTTCATGGAATTAGAAGTGGATCCTCTATAAGAGTTTTCCGTTGACAAAAACAGAAAAATAACAATAAGGGGATCAATTCTTATGAACCTCGAACCATAAAAGATCAAATGTCACGTGACCAAAATTTCCCTAAGAAAATCACACTTACTGCACATTGCACATCAGTAATCAGTCAGTGTTTCACCCACCAAATATTAGGCTTTCATGGGTTATGCATGATTAGCCTGTTCCCTCAACTGAAGTCTATATTCTTTAATCTTCCTGCACGAAGATTTAAGTATTCACAAAAATTATCATTCTAGTCACAACTTCACTGCCTCTACAATAACCTCAATGTTTCATGCACGATAGAAATCATCGCAATTGTTTTTCGGGCCAGTCAGGCACACTTTCACTCTCCTAACCAAAAATCACTGGAATATAGTTTCTGTCCAAATCTGTCTATTGATACACAAATCTAAATCTAGAGACTACAAAATTCCATTATCTAACAGAAAACGAACATGCTTTCTGCATACATATGCACATTACTTCCTACTCACCATTACCATTCAGCTGCCCAAAAACAGAAAAAACCCTATACAGAAACAACAAAAATTAAACAAACCCACCAAGTAAAAATGTTCAGGATGCCATTCAATACTACAAATTAGAAGAACAAAAGCAGTGAAGTGCAGCTAACCTTTGAAGATGTTGGACTGTGAAGCAAATACAACAGGAACAACAAAGCGATGATTCTGAGTCCTCTGCCTCTTAATCCGTATAGCTGAGAGCAAAGACTGCTTCTTGAGCCTTAAAGATGAATTGGAGGAGAAGAACTGAGAGTGGGTGAAAGCTAGGGATTGATTCTTGTAACAATTTGGGGATTGTGCGGTTATGCAGCACAGGCTTTGCAGCATAACCGAACCCGCCATCGAATTTATCTTTCTGCAAATATGTCACGGAAAATTAATTGGGAGAGCTTCAACCGCCATTTGAGGTTTTACACAGGAAGAAGGAGATCGGTGTGCGACTCCCTCTCAGCCTCAGAAGCGGAGCGTTGGAAAGGGCCTACCGATGCCCAAAATGTAACAGAGTTGTTTATTTTTATCTGACCTTTTTTATGGGCCAATTTGTCATGCCCTTCTAATTTTTTATTTATTTCTATTTGCAGATTTAGCGGAACCAAGTCAAATTAAATTAATATAACATGACTCAATTGATTATGATAAAATGTTTCTTGGCAATTCCTATTAAGATTTTTGTGAGAAGAAAATCTATCAAAAAGTATTAATTTATGAAGAAGGCCACATCAATTTAGAAGGGAGGCCATGAAAAAATTGATTAAGATGGTTTAGACATGTGAAACAAAAATTTATAGATGATCCAGTTAGACAATGCGATTATGAAACAAACGCTCAAGGAAAAAGAGAGAGGAAGAGACAGTAAGACTTAGAAAAAGACTTTAAGAAAAGACATAGAGTACTTGGAGCTAATAAAAAACTTGGTGCAAAATTGAGCGAAATAATATTCTACGATTTCATATAACCAATCTCATTTAGTAAGATAAGACTTTGTTATTGCTTTGTTATTGTAGCCTTTATCCAACTAGGACGGCAAGGCCACGTACCACTCCGTTTAAAATGTAGTATTTGGTTAGACCTGAAATGCAGATGTAGACGGTAGAGGTGGTACTTCTATTCCCACTCCCGGACGAAATCCAACCACATATTATTTGTGCTAAATGATCATATTCCGGCCAAATTACGGAAAATACTTGCATCTTCCTAAGGGTGTGCACCTTGTCCACCCTTGTGACCAACTTATTTTCACATTACAGATTTTATAATTAGAACTGTTTATTTTCTTAATCTTCATTAAAGATGATCTTTATAAAATATCAATCAAATCTTTATTGTTGTGAATAATATGTGGATAGCCCACATGAATAGTCTGTTACTATTTATGCACAGTATTTTCACTATTTATTTGTAGAAATTTTGTAAAGTGAATAATGTTGCTAAAGTAACTTTTTCCTATAAAATGAAAGTATGGGAAGAAGAGAAGAAGTGAGTGAGTGACTCACGGAGAGATAGGAAGGAAGAAAGGAAGAGAGAAAGGAGAGGAAGAGGAGAGGAGATAATAGAGAGAGTTATCTTTGTACTCTTATTATTCTAAATTATAATGAAAGCACCACTACTGCCCCGAGGACGTACTCCAGTCACATTGACTGTAGAGGAACCTCGTAAATTTTGTGTCTTGTTTCATTTATTCCACTGCACCCACCGTCGATTTTATAACACGTTATCAGCACGAGAAGCTCTCATGTCAGTGGAAAGCACAACGCCATAAATCCGGTGAAGCATTACCTACCTCCCACCTTTGCTAGCTAAAAATCTCATAGAATAAAAGGTATGTCCATTTTCATCTCTCCCACCGCGCCTGAAGCGCCCCATCGAATTCCGGTGAGAATTGAAATTTATGACCTGTAGTCGTCACGAGATAAGAAAACTCGTACCAGACAACTGGTTTCTAGAAATCCAGAAGAATCTCATCAGACTTGGAAACCCATATCACATCGTTTTTTACGGATCTCGAGAACTCCCATGAATGTTCGGTTGTCTAAGATGGTGATGGCAAGACTGACTCCACTTAAGCCTCCCTCTCTTGTGCCTCCGTCAACCCCACTGTCATCTATGTCTCTGTAGGGAGGTTCTTACTTTGCGATGTCATGTTCTCTGGGCCATGCAAGAACAACGCCAGTCTTTGGTAGCCTTTTTGGATTGAATTGGTTTTGTGTGACCTCCACAACAACCCAGCTGGCTCTGGATTTTGAGACTGGTAAAGACAGACAAAGAAGAAAAAGGATTGGAAAGGTGGAATTTTGGTGTATGATGTTGAGACAAAAGGAGAAAATGACAAAGGTTTCTAATGATGCATTGCACCATCTAAATAATAAAATAAAAATAAAAAAGGGGAAATGGGGCCATTTTGGAATGGTGTGTAGCATCATGTGAAAAAGGAATAAAAGCAAAGTTCTTGAATGGTGCACGGCACCATGTGAAAAAAATGAATAAGAAAATAATAAAATAAAATAAAGGTAAAAGTTTTTGGAGGGTGTTACACCATCTGAAAAGAAAGAAGAAAAAAAAATATATATATATTTATTTATGTGAATGGTGTTGGCTTAAAACACTTTCACAAGTTCTATTTATTTAAAGCAATTTATTTACAGTGGGTAGAATTATTACCCTTTGCTTTAAAGCTTTGATATTTATGTGCATGGTGTTGGTTTAAAGCTCATGTCACAAGTTCTATTTACTTTAAAGCAATTTATTTATCATGGACGGTTTTACCACCTACTGCTTTAAGTTTTGATTTATGTGAATGTTGTTGGTTTAAAATCTTTTCACAAGTTCTATTTACTTTAAAGCAATTTATTTACCCTGGATCGTTTTACCGCCTACTGCTTTAAGTTTTGATTTATGTGAATGGTGCTGAATTAAAGCCCTTGTCACAAGCTTTATTTACTTAAATGTAATTTATTTACTATGGCTGGAATTACCGCCTATTGCTTTAATTTATTTATTATACTTATTTTTGTTACGATAAGTACATACTGGACCTGAAGTTTCTTGATCAGATCAGAACCTGTAGTTTCTTGATCCTCATCATATAAAATGATTGGACCCGAAGTTCCATCATACAAAAAAGATCAGGCATGAAGTCCTTGATCCTGAAGATCAGGACATGAAATTCCTTGATGAGTATCGTAAGTGTGAAGTGCCGCAATGCCTCAACTTAATTGTAATAAAAGTCATAAGAGTCTCGATCTACATACTATTTAATAAGGACCAGAAGTTCCTTTTGTCCATACTCAAAATGGTTTAGCAGAAGCATTTATTAAGCGGATGAAATTGATTACCCGCGCTCTGCTCATGAAAACGAAATTGCCAGTTTTGACATGGGGACATGTCATTTTACATAATTCATTATTAAGTTTGGTTGAGGCCAGTTGCCAACCATCAATATTTCTCAGTACAACTCGTATTTAGGCACCAGCCAAACATTAACATTTACGAGTTTTTGGTTGTGTTATCTATGTGCCTGTAAGACTGCCACAACGTACTAAAATAAGGCATCAATACAAACTGGTAATTTATGTTGAATTCGATCCACCATCTATTATTCAACATTTGGAACCCTTGACTGGGGATATATTTACCGCATGATTTGCGGACTATGATTTTGATAAGACAGTTTTCCCGCCATTAAGGGGAGAAAATAACATTGTTCCAGAAGAACGATGAGAAAATATCATTCTAGAAGAATAATAAGAAAAGACCGTTCCAGAAGAACGAAGAGAAAGAGAATTTGTTTTATTTTGATTCACGAAGCAATCAATATGAAAATGAAGTAAGAATAATTGAATGATGCAACGAAAATGATGAAATCATATATACTTGCTGCAAATGTGACTACAAGAATTGATGTCCCTGTTGGACAAAATAATATGGCAGTAAATGATTTATCTGTTGCACGCCTGAAGCGTGGCAGACCCTTAGACTCAAAAGGTTCATTCATTCGAAAGAAGAAGAATATGGCACTACTAAACTATTGCATTCCCGAAGCATAAATGTTGCTTGCTAGAAGCATGACAGTCGCCGTATGGATATACGTCCCAGAAAGGACAATCCGCGGACATGGGAATGTTGATGTCTCATGCATGGAGCATGATAGACATATAGGTTCCAATGACTCAACTCCTGGAAGTGGAGATTAAAATCCAAGCTCTATAATGCTCTAGAAGAGGTTATGATCCGCATTCTCTAAATTACGACTATCCTGAAAGAGATAGTGTAATGCCCTTGAATAGGCAATGGATATCCAAAGAAATAAAAAGCTTTTATGCATGCGCATGCACATGAGAATATGAGATCACAGATTGATGATAACCAATGGTAATTTTGGTTTTTATAAATAGCTACTAAATTCATCAATGAGCTGTGTTGATACTGAATCTCGTTCTTTTTTGTCAACAAAATTATTGGCCAAAATGGAGAAAGGCAATTCCATTACAATTTTGTAAGAACGTGGAAAAATGGACATATATATTTGAAAAATAATACAAATAGCCAAAAAGATGTTGAACCAAAGAGGTTACATTGGGCATTTGTTATACAGTGAAATACACTCACATGATATGACACAAGGTATTGAAACCTGAAATTATACTCTTGTAAATGAGTTCATATGAATGGAGAATTATATATGAAGGGTTGTGAGTCACCCACATCATATCTCCATAAGTAAATCCCTCAAGTATACATGGGAGCAAATTGCTCTGTATAAATTCCAAAGGAAAATGTGTCATGAAGTGTAGAAAATCCCTGAAGGATTCAAATTGCTTGAAATAAGCCCCCAAAGGGTAAAGCATAAATTATGTACTCAATACCAATGGATAGTATAAATTGCCTTAGTGAGTACTATCATTATGATATTGTTGCAACATACTAAAATCTATTGCAAGAGTCAATGACATTAAATTAGAATTCCTGAAGAGTTAATGATATTAAATTAGGACTCCTGAAGAGTCAAGAAAGATTATAAAGTGTTGAGAGAAATATTGTCTCGAGCTGCAGATCGAACAATCTACCAACATGAATCTTATCCATGATGTCTATGATATTGAAAGAACTATATGGATTGAAGATTATGAGTTGAATACTTAAATGATGTAGACACTAAGAAAGATCATTTATCTTATTGAGGGTAAAGATAAATTAATGTTTGGTCCAGAAGTACCACATCTTAGTGAAGTATATGCTTTATTGTATTTGGCACAATACACTGAATGAAATAAAGCTTATCTATTAATATCTCCGAGAAATTACAGATATGTGCATACACATGAGTTAAAACAAACAAACAGGATGGAGCCTTCACAAAGGTTGCTCATGTGAAGTCTCAGTACTCGGAAGTACCGCATAATGAGGAGGCACTGGAGATTGATCGTGTGGCACCCCAGTACTTGGCACAACACCAGAAGGGGAAGGCATCAGTTGCTTTCGAAATCTAGCAACGAACCTTTGGTGAT